GCAAGGAGGTGACTTGGTGGGCTGAGTCCAGGTAGTTGGACAGGGCAGGCTGAAATCTGTGGCCTCTGTGCTTACTCAAGTAAACCTCTTCCTTTCCAAGTGGTTTTGGATGCTTCCCCACTCAGAATGGATGAGCTCTTGTGGGAAATGAGGTTTTATGTGCCTCCCTTGGGCAGCACAAGTTGCTTTTACACTGTTCTTGACCCTACTTGGCTCATGACAAAGTGTGACCTGCAGGTCCTTTTACCACCTGCCTTTTACAGGGAGAATTAAATGAAGGCTAATTTTTGGGAGGTGGATCTGGAGGAATGGGAATGACCTGTGGATATTACAGTATGCAGGTCAAATTAAGAAGCAGAGTTAATTTCCAACTGCACAAAATAGGAGCTCAGGAAAAAGATTCACTGTGAGCCTTAATTATAAATGAAAAGACTCACTGAGTGCAAGTAACAGTTCTTGAAAGGAGATGCAGTAACATAGGTGTATGGGGAGAGTGCAGTTACTATCCTGGGGGTGAAAAGGAGCAGGAACAGCGAGGAAGGAGGTCAGGCATCTCCTAAAGAGAAACCACAGGGAAGAGCAGCTTTTCTGTCTCAAATCTAACTTCCAGCTGATGATTTATGTGAATTAATAAAGAGGGGAAGATAGGGTTCAGCAAGTTAAATTTATGAACTTCTCCTTAATGCCATGGGAAGAGGAAGCATGATTAACTGGATTGAAGTTCCATCAGGATTTTGGATGGAGATTTGAGCTTTCTGATAGCACCTCATGTCGATGGGCTGGGAAATGCTGATAGACCCTTCTGTAAGGGTTTGACCCAAGGGACAGTGTCTCTTGGTCTGACAGTGAATGCTTTTCCACTTGGGAATTCCATGCTTATTTGGCTGGGATTAGCTGGATGGAGCCAGGTGAGTGACTTCCAGTCCATTATAGTGGGAACATCAACATTCTGGGAAGGAAAATGAAGCTGGAACTTACATGCAGCACTGGGAGAGTGGGGCCAGGATGGAGGTCTCATCATGGGAATGCCTCCCAAACCTGGGGACACAGCAGAGAGCACAGAGTTCAGTGCCTGCCCAGCACCTTCCCCCCTCCCTGCCCTCATCCCACAGCCTCACCCTCTGGCATTGTCCAGGTGCAGGAGGAATCCATCGTCCCCAAACTTGGTGAACATTTCGTAGTGGTGACGGTCCATGTTCCCTGGTAAAGGGTAGACAGAGGAACAGAGTTTCCCTTGCATGTGACCAGGTAATTTTCTAAACTATCCTCTGTTTTCTTTCAGATCTGCATGAGATATTTGTTGCCATGCTGGAAGTGTCTAAGGTGCTCAGAGCTGCTGCTTTCCCCTCACTGGAGTGGGCTGGGGTGAGCCTGTGTACATTAGGAGAGGCTGTGCTGGCTGTGGGGAGACAGCAGCCTCTCCAAACTGTCTCTGGAGGAGAAGGGATGGCTTGGAGAAACCTCCTGGCATGGGAGGGCAGGATGCCATGCTGAAGGCCCACAAGGTGTCACAGAATCATAGAATTTTAGGGGTTGGAATGGACCTTAGAGATCATCTACTCCCAACCCCCTGCCCTGGGCAGGGACACCTCCCCACTAGACCAGGTTGCTCAAGGCCTTATCCAATCTGGCTTTGAACACTGGCATGGAAGGAAGGAATGTCCTTCCCCCCTTCATCATACCTATTAGGAAGTCAAATATGGCCATGTCCACCACGTTGAGCAGTCGGTTGCCATTGCTGTAGGGATAGATCTCCCTCACTGTGTTGCAGTAGAGTGGATTCACTTCCCACCTGCAGGAGATGGAGAGAAGGGAGTGATGCACTCAGCTGCTGTTGGCATGACCCAACAGCTCCCCAAAGCCCATCTGTGTGTGGAGGTGGAGAGGAGAAGGACTTAAACCTCCCTCCTTGTGCACACAGGAGTCTGGAATTCCAACCCAGCCAATGCCCAGGGTTTAAGAGCTAATAGACTAATTATGGGCACTGTGAATCTTGGTCTTCCTCTGCCTGGACACCATTTCTGCCTCTGTGTGTCCATATCTGATGCAGAGATGAGAAGCAGCAACATTTACCCACTTACTCCTCTTTTCCATCGAAGGAGTAGGAGCGGATCCATGGATTAGGGATGGAGAGCCGTGGTGCCAGGTTGAGGGATGGCAGGAAGGCAGAGAGGGATCCTTCCAGGAGGTGAGGGTTCCCACACACTGCATACTCAGTCTTGCACATGTAGGGGCACTTGGCAAAGAAGCAGACGTTGCTGGCTGGGAGGAGAGAGAGGAGAACAGGGAAAGGAGCTGTGGTCTGCAGGAAGCTGCAAGGTGGCTTGGACTGATCCCTTCCCCATCGTGTTGTGGCATCTGTAACCACATTATGAATGTGAAACTGCCAAATCATGGATTTGGTCAAGGGATAGACCTGGTCCTGCACTAAGGGAAAGGCAGGAAAAGAGTGTAGGTGATTCCAGCTGGAGGACACCTCTGCTGCACATGTCTTTGTGCATGTTTCATCCAGGATAACCATGTCTTTGTGCATGTTTCATCCAGGAGTTTCACTTCTGCAGCACAGCACGAGTCCTGCAGCCTCTTCTGTCTGCAGTCCCTGCCCTTCCTCCCACCAAGGGCCAACACAAGTTTGGTTTAGGTTGGAAGGGACCTAAAAGATCATCTAGAACACAACATGCCTCATGCCAGCCCCCAGCACCCACCTGGTGAGACAAAGAAGACACTCTGCAGAACCTCATTCTTGGTGACCTCCAGGATCTCCTTGGTCACATTGATCAACCTCCCAACGGTGGGTGGGACCCTCCGGAAATCCAGGATCCTGTGCAGAGGGGACAGTGGCTCAGAGCCAGCAGAGCTCAGGGATGGGACTGCATGGAATGGCATGGTGGGATGGCATGTGCCTCATCCCTCACTCATCCCTTCCACCAGTGGAGCCAAAGGGTGACTGCACCCACATGGTTTTTCTTTTTCTCCCCCAGATTCTTTCTAGCAAAAAGTCATTTTGCCCTCAGGGCCAAAATACATCTGACTTTGGATTTTGGTATTTTAATAGCTGCTGCCTGGAATAATCTGGATGTTCTCCAGGATTCCTGTCTCTTT